AACAATGGTTTGTAATATGAATGCATCCCCATCTCCATATCAAGTGAAAAAGACTAAAATCTATTTATTTGCCAAAACGTCGGTACTATTATACTTTTAACACACATAATATCAATAAATGTATAATTTCATTTAAATTTATACTATGTTAAGATGTCCAACCTATTATATTTTAATAGCATTATAATAGTATTACATGTATAATTTCTGGTCTTTATAGGATTTTGCGGCACAGACCCTTCTGGAATAAAAGTAAAAACACGAAAAGCAAAGAGTGTTATCGTAGCCTGGGATACAACAAAGATTAACTGTGGCTATACTATAACTGGATACAAAGTTTATTTCAACTCTATAACTCCATTTAAAACATATAAAAGTAAAGAAGCGAGCGGGGCTACAACTGACAATGTTGAAATATTCTCAATTGTTCCAGGGTTTAGTTACAATATTTTTGTTAAAGCTATAACAGCCAATGGAGAAGTATCGAATCCAACATCAGTAAATTACACTCATCCACATGCAAGTAAGTTTACTATTGTATGCTACATGTAGTATATAGCAACAGTTGAGCATTTCATTTCTTTATTATTTCGGTTATTTGCTATATACATTCTGCCTTTCACTACCCACAATTCCTATTTCAGAAAAAAACTTAAATATTGACTTTGATATCAAATATATTCTTGTGCAGTTATTTTTGTATCTTCTGAATTTCGGGCCATCCAATTAGGAATAAACTATTTTATTTTTATTTCATTTTGGCTTATGAGTAGCGTTGGTAAATATATTACTTTCGCGTACGGTAGATCTTACTGTTCCAGAAACATATATATATATATCTTTTTTGCCTGTAATTTGACCGAGAAATGATGGAATAAGTTACAAAATGGAGCCAACCTTAAATTTATGAGAATATTACATTTAAGGTAAACTTTCATAATCAATCTCTGAAGAACTCATTCGAATATATTTTTCTCAAGTTTTAGCGACTTCTTTAGCCCTCATAGCTTACACGATCTCAAAACAAGATTTTAAATACTAAGTAATGTATTTAACATACGCTAAATTGATAGTGAAGGAAATAATTAGGGATTGATAAGAAATTGTGAAAGAAAAAATGATAAAATAATTAAATCAGATAGATAGACAGTAAACGAATGAAGAAATAAGAAAACAAAGGTAACAACCGTTTATTTCATTAAACCGTTTAGACGATCGTCACATTTTATCACTGAAATAAAATGTGTAATTTTAGAAATTTTGGAATAAGACATAAGTGTTCACCATATATATATATATATATATGAATATGGGGTTTCAATATATTTATGAAAAGGGAATGTATGATAAAAGTAAAAGAAATAGCAACTGAAAAACATAGGTAAAAAAAAAATAGCTATGAATACTAGGCGATGTTGGTTATATCTCAACGAGAGAGTAATCCAAAGACATCACTCCAGAAAAAAAAACCACATTTATAGAGATCCCAAAACGGTCTTTAGGTATAAACTATAATCTCTGTATTACTGATAAATTATTAAGTCAGGGATTTCGTTACCACAAATTTGATACTTAAAACCTTTACTAAATTCTTCCATAGATACAAATATTTGGTTTGCAAGTTTGGCTGTACCTGTAAAAAATATATTTCAGACAGAATAGTACATCCTTAATTTAACGGTGATGTTGTTTACCGAGCCCGGAAATTTATATACGATCCGGGTAAACTTATCAATCCTTTAAATAAACTTATTCTAAAAGGTTACCAAATCAACACTGTAATTAGATCTTTGAATATTGTTTTTATAGGTAAAAATATTGATTTTGTTATCAGTAAATTAAAATCATACTAATAGTTTTTTTATACACATATGCACATTAACGGTACTGCAATCTGTCGATCGTTTGGCATTTTGGCATTGCACAAGGTCATGTTTTTCTCTGACTGTCAATGACGTCTTTACACTAAATCCTTTGGATGTTGGATGTATACTGATTGATATTTTAGTCTTAGATACATGATTTTATTTATTAGTTGTTATTGGCTTTGAACTAGCTGTCAGTAACTGCCAGAACTCTCAGATCTGTACTTAGTGTCTTTTTTGTTGTTATGGATTTGGGATGGATAAATAACCATGCCACGTCCGGTCTGTGTTTATGTTAGATGTTTTTCTGCTTTGTATCGATCTGATGAGTTAATAGATATAAGAAGATTTGGTATGAGTGCCAATGAGACAACTCTCCATTCAAGTCACAAATTGTAAAAGTAAACCATTATAGGTCAAAGTACGGCCTTCAACACGGAGCCTTGGCTCACACCGAACAGCAAGCTACAAAGGGCCCCAAAAATGACTAGTGTAAAACTATTCAAACAGGAAAACCAACGGTCTTATCTATATAAAAAACGAGAAACGAGAAACACTTATGAACCACATAAACAAACGACAACCACTGAACATCAGGTTCCTGGCTTAGGACAGGTGCAAACAAATGCAGCGGGTTTAAACGTTTTAATAGGCGCCAAACTTCACCCTACCTGAAACAATAGTGTAACATCACAACATAGAAAGACACAATGTAAAATATCAATTGAAATGGCTTAACTCAATCAAAAGACATATTAACAAAAACAAGTGAACATACACTAAACGAATAAATTTGATCTATGACACAATGTAAATTCAAAATTAATAAAACAAGGGGGTTAGATGTAAAACAATATAAGAAAGACAACCGTAACCTTGTACAAAATACCGCCAAATAAAATAACGTACACAGGTAAATAAAAATAATTTTGTTGTAAGGTATACATTGAGTACGGAAATAATTTTTACAAAATGAATAATTTTGTTGTTCCTAGTACGAGAACAAATTAAAGTCATACTAAACACTTATCAAAGGTGGTATATATTAAAAATAGTGAGACTAGATATAACACTGAATAAGTAAACATTAAATAACAAAAATACATTACAAATTGTATCAACAAGTTAAATTAACACGAAAGTACGATTTGAGAGTACTCGCAGTTACTGATAGCTAGTTAAAAGCCAAAAACAATTAATAATAAAAAATCATGCATAAGAGACTAAAATCAACTAAAACACATCCAAGGGATTTAGTGTTTTAACGTAATGGACAGTCAAAGAAGACATGTCACATGACTTGTGCAATGCCAAAATAAAAGTATCGACAGGCAGTAGGATAGTTAGGAGTTAACCTGTTAATAAATATGTATAATGTAATATATAGATAAAGTAATCTCTATATAGAAAATGAACGTGGATGTGTATTTATACATCCCAAGAAAACGTTTGAAAAGAATACAAATTTAGTTATGTTTTAATTTGCTGATGAAAAAATCGACATTTGTGCCAATGTAAACCATATTCAAAGTTCTAATTACAACATTGGTAAGATAACCTACACTAAAAAGTTTGTTTAAAGGTTCGATGAGTTTACACGGATCACATAGTGATTTCGCGCCTTTAGTACAATATTACCGTAAAATTTAGGATGTGAAATACCGTTTTTAATAAGTTTTCTACAGGTACAGCCAGATTTAATCAAATCTTTGTATCGATGAAAGAATTTAGTAAAAGTTTTAAGCAATTTATGGTAACGAAATCCCTGACTTAATAATTTACCAGTGATGCATTGATTACGTTCGTTAAAATCTATGACATCACTACACACACGGGCATAACGAACGAGTTGGGATATATAAACACCGTATGATGGTGCCAAAGGATAATCGCCGTCTAAAAAAGGAAAATTAACAATAGGGAATGAAATATCGTCTCTTTTGTCGTAAATTTTAGTATGGAGTTTCCCTTTAAAAATTGAAATGTCTAAATCTAGAAAAGGACAACTACTGCTGTTTATGTTAGACCTATTTAAAGTAAGTTCCTTTGGGTAAATTTCGATAGTATATTTAGAGAACTCTGGATTATTTAACGAAAAAATATCATTAAGATAACGGTAGGTATTGTTGAATGTATCAACCAAATGTAACAATGACGTGTCTTTACTGAGTTTGGTCATAAACTGAGATTCATAACAATACAGGAATAAATCTGCTTTTAAAGGGGCGCAGTTAGTGCTCATAGGAATACCTACTACCAGTCGATGCATTTTATCGCCGAAACGTACATATATGTTGTCCAGGAGAAAATTTAAAGCTTCAATCATATCTTCACATTTCCAGTAAGTGTATCTAGCATACTTTCGTTACAGTAAAAGGCTTTTTTCAACTGATTTTTATAGTTTGTTACGTTGTGCTGTTACACCACTGTCCCAGGTTAGGGGAGGGTTGGGCGCTCACAGACATGTTTAACCCCGCCACATTCTTTATGTACCTGTCCCAAGTCAGGAGACTGTAGTTCAGTGGTTGTCGTTGGGTCATATTTATTTTTCGTTAATTGTTTTGTTATAAATTAGGCCGTTAGTTTTCTCTATTGAATTGTTTCATATTTTTCATGTCGGGGGCCTTTTATAGCCGACTATACGGTATTGGTTTTTTTCTCATTGTTGAAGGCCGTACGGTTGCCTATAATTGCTTACATCCACTTAATTTGAACTTTGGTGGATAGTTGTCTCATTGGCAATCATACCTCATCTCTTTATTTTTTATATAGCATCCACATCATAGGTAAGTTGTAAATCGCCCCGCGTCTGGACAACTAGTTGGAAAAGTTATATGATTGAGGATGTGAATGAGGCAATATTCCCTGGATATATGAACTAAAAGAATTAATCATAAAAGTTACATCGTTGTTTATACTATTAGTTGCTAGAAATGTTTCAACTACAAGCAACATAATTTGGATCATACAACAAGACCAAATACTGCCCTACTGTCGACTTTAGCTAAAAAAGTTTTTTATATCTGCTTTAAGCCAAATATGCACAAAACTATATACATTGATTATGGGATATTTTAGATAACAATGAAAACTAAACATATAAAACTGTATTATTGTCTATTTTACCTGTTACAGAACCAGCAGCTGCTCCAAGCAATATCCATGCATCATCACAAGGTATAACTTCATTGACAATATCATGGGACGCTCTAACTGTATTCACCAAGAATGGAGACGTCAAGGGATACAAGTATGAATATATTACTTCTATCTTAATAGCTGCTAGAATATATAGAAAGATTAACTGAAATAATAAGTTGTTTTCTGTAATGTCGATTATTTCAAATAATAATAATAATAGTAATAATAATAATAATAACAAATTAATCAACTTGATTTTACAGACAAAACCCCTATTGAAAATATGCATCTTAAATTTTGTAAATCTACTCTAGGAATAAGAAAAAATGCATCCAATTTAGGAGCAAGAGTTGAGTTAGGAAGATTGCCTATATAATGTTTTATTAAAACACAAACCCTTTTATATTTAGCTAGACTATATAATAATAATATTAATCCATTGATAAAGGAAGCTTTTTCTCTAGCACAGTCTCTAGATTTGACTGGAACTTATTCATGGTATACATATGCAAAAAGTATTGTTGAAGAGACTAATATTGACCTTAATATTTTTTCTAATTGTAAGGACATAAAAGATGTAAATAAAATAAAAAACGATATAAAGTTAAAAATGAAAAATAGATATGAAGATTTAATTGAAACTAAATTTGAAAACATTGATGATAAAAGTAAATTCCTATAATAAACGAATATTGTGTATGTTTCCTTCGGTTATATCTTACTGGATTGCCTATATAATGTTTTATTAAAACACAAACCCTTTTATATTTAGCTATATTTTATCTAGATAAAAAACTTAAAAAGGATTGCAAACTAGAATCTTATCTAAATATATCTAATTTTCAGATAAGGAGATTGATCACTAAATTTAGACTAAGTGATCACTCCCTCTTAATTGAAAAGGTGGGAGATATTTTAAAATCCCAAGAGAGAAACGACTTTGTCATAAATGTAAAATACTAGAGGATGAGAAACATTTTTTACTCTATTGTGATTATAATAAAACACTAAGAAATTCCTTTTTTGAACACATATGTACTGAAAATAATAACTTTAATAATTTAAATGAAGAAGAAAAAATTCATTATTTACTAAATCCATCAACGCCTTTACAAACAAATAAGTTAGGATCCTTCTTGAAAAAGTTATTAGAACTGAGGGCAGGGGACTCTTAACAGCTTGTTTGTTTTTATAAATTTTGGTGCTGTTTTTATTGTGTTTGTTTGATATGTATGTATATATGTTTATTGTGTTAATACATGCATATATGTTGGTCACAAACTGTAAAGTTTATACGACAATAAAATATTTGATTTGATTATTTCTTTTTCTCAATTTTAAACTATTTTCAACAAAACTCATAGTTTACCAACTTCCCTTGATGTGTTGATTAATATGTAAATAAATAATTGATTTTGAAATATTGAAAGAAGTTGATATTTACAAGATTAGTTTAAATTGATATTCAAGTTACATGTTAAGTATCTCTCGAGTTTTTTCATGATTAAATATTTTCCTATATGTACGTACATCTAATTCAGTGTTTCAAATCTCAGGTGTCACTGTGCCAGTAAGATATAACCGAAGGAAACATACACAATATTCGTTCATTATAGGAAAATATGAAATTTATTTCTACTAGCTTAGAAACGGGACGAAATGCGTGGTTCACCGAGTTTTTTTTAACTTGTTTTTTCAGTTTTGAAATAATGAACAGCTGAATGTATTATATTGAACTGATGCATGTTAATTATTGACCATTCTTACATATAAAGCACAACATCTGGATTACATTTTGATATATCATCATCACCACCATTTTAAGGTGCATTGACTTTAATCCACAAGAGAGAAGCGGTTGAAATCAAAAGAATGTTCCAACTCATAAGTCGAAGATAAAGTAACAACGCCATGCTAAAGTACGAAAAACGACCAAAATGCAAACAACGGTCCACAAGGCACAACAAAGAAAGCTACGAACATTCACAACACGAACCCACCAAAAAACACTGGTGACGCAGGTGGTCCATTTGTGACATTCGTCTTGTTACTCTTGTAAAATTCGTTAACATTATAAACAAAAAAGACATTAAGCTAAAGCAAGAGCAAGAGTAACACAAACCCCTTTTAAAACAAAACTAGGGCAGATATCAGGTGCTCCGAAAAAGTAAGCAGATCCTGTTCTACATGTTGCACCTCGTGCTTCTCTTGCTGATGAATGTACATATTCAATGATAAGTCTAATTTGATGAATCTGCTTTTCAGTACCATTTTATTTCTTTTGTCTATTTTAGGTTGTATTACAGGGGAACTGGTCTTTCAGGAACTCAATCAGCTAATGTGGTTGGAGAGGCTAATAGGCAATTTACTGTCACTGGACTTCGACCGAATTCAACCTATCAATTCATTATGCAAGTGATCAACGATGTCGGATCAGGACCATATAGCAGTTTTATACCTATTAGTACACTCCCGCTTCGTAAGTGTTGATGACGTACTAAAGAGTAATATATCAGATCATAACTGTTACTGCGTATCATAAGATATTCCACTGGGCCCGGTTGTTCAACTTGTCGTTAACTTAACGTAAGCGTTAAATTTAACGTGTCGTTAACATGTCGTTACTTAACCCATGGTTAAAATGGTGTTGTTCAAAATCATGCGCAAAATCAAAATATTTCTGCTTGGTGTTATTTTTATTGTTTTGGAGTTAAGTATTATTAATTCCGTCAATTGATTGGTAAAACCATGGTGACTACCGTATCGCTTCTCTCATATCAGGTTATGAATCGCAATAGATGGCTTAATCCAATATATTCTCTTTAAACGTTATACAACAGAAAATATTTACATGGGTATCAATGTACAAAACAAAGACCAAATAATTACAATACTTACGGAGAACGAAATAACGGATAACAGTATCAGCACCTGATCCAGTCTTGTTCAGTTTTAGGATCGTAAAATTGCTTTACACATAGGTCTGATCATCAGTAATATTTACATAAAATCATTTTAAACTAATTTATATAATATTTTCTATTTGACACCAACAATAAACATAGACATTTGAACACATTAACTTCGACTAAAATGTCAGAGATATGACCAATTATATCTACTGTCATTAAAGTGCTTAGAACAGTGCTTATGCATGTTAAACAGGGATTAGGAAACTTTGATACCTCGAAAAAATGTCTTGTTTGCGCTATCTTTTAGAAAGTAACTTATTAAGGGGTCTAGAATTTCAGATATTCTTTTCCTGTGTTCATTTTTTTAGTATCACAACTAATACCTACTATATAAATAAATTTGTTGAAAAATGTGTGTTTTGAAAATAAAAAAAAAATATCTTGAGAAATCCATCGTATTGATCACTTTTGAGGAAAGTCAAATTTACTTTGTCATAGAATCATTTCATCGTCCATTCAGTCCCTTCATTGTATTTAAGTATCTCCATAAATCTTCTGAATTCCTATATTTATATCATAGATTTATGAGCCGCCTGAAAGAAAATGATAGTTACGATAGTCAGTGGGATCATGACAAGATACATAATGTCCTATTGTAAAATTTATGATTTAAAGACTTAACGTCTCAGTCAGCATGACATAAATATAAATTCTTAGTAATAAATTTTTCTGATTTCACGAAAGTAGGTATCATCATTTTTACAAATTAAATTACAAAAATCAATTTCTAAACATTTAATGAAATTGCAACTTTGATTTGATTTAATAGAGATTGTAGTTGATACTTTATTTATCCAGGATATATTTTGTACATTGATTTTGTGTGACATTTGAAAGATTCTTTTCAATCTCATATGATTAATGTTAAGTCAATCAACCCTTTAAAAGCTTTCAGTTAACATGTGCTGTTTAAATAGTCTCAATGTTAAAACGCTTGTAAATGTTAGTTTTAGACAAGAATCGTTTGTATAATTCACAAATTTTGACTTTTTAAAAATAAAAAAGCACCTGCATTTTAGAAAAAAACCCGTCTTTCAATAAATTGAAATTTAATCATGCACTTTACCCACGGACACTTATGCAATGTCTTAATGGGGTAATTTATTACATATTAAAAAAAAATCTCTTTTATTGAAGATAGTTATTGACTTCTCTTTCTTGTATTGTTTTTCAAACACTTTAGATGGTGCCTTATGTAAATGTTATTGGTATAATGTTCATAGAGCTACAATCTAAGTGCTTTTAAAAAAAGCCAATTTGTTAATTAATATTTCAATCCTTTCTATGCACCATTCATTCATTAAATGTCTAACAATATTTGCTCCGAAGTACAAACTTATCTTCAAAATCGCTCTGATAATAATATCGAATCGTACCTAATTGATTTAATGACAATGACAGTTAAGGAAATCTTGCATTTGTCAGTTAATGGCTGTAATAGAACTATATATGATTATTACGACATTTTCTCTATTTTCATTTTCAGCTTTTAATTTCTTATACCTCAATATCAATTTCTATATCAATTTCAGCAACTACAACAACTACTACTACTACACCAATACCCACAACAACTACAGTCACCACCACAACAACCACGACACAGCCAACAACTACAACAACCATCCCAACAACTACAACAACCATCCCAACAACTACAACAACCACCCCAATAACTACCACAACCATTCCAACAACTACAACAACCATACCAACAACTACAACAACACAAACAACAACCAAGCCAACTACTCCAACAACAACCGCGCAGACTACAACTATAACAACCACTAAAGTTACCACACCTACGACACGACAATCAAAGTTATCTACAACAACAGACGTCACGTCATTTGGAGGTATTTTAGATATTATATTTGACTTCTTTTTAGAGCTGTTTTTCTGTTAAACATTACAATTGAATATTTAATTTGTTAAGGAAGTAGCAATGGTAAATCTTAAAAAATAGCACGTGCAAGATACTAAAAAAATAGCACGTGCAAGATACTAAAAAAAAATGCACAAAAAGTTGGAGGAAAATTAGAGTGAGGGAGACAGTGAAGCAAATCATGAGTAATAAGACATATATGTACGGACTGGCGAGAAAAGATGTTTACTTACAAAGAACTTTCGAAAATAAACCTTTTGATAAAATGAACATTCACAAATACCGGAAGAAGTGGTATGGAGTGTTGAAGATTTATCCTTTAACATATTCAACATTCTCTCTTAAAACGTATTTACTTTTACCGGTATCCTTGGTATTTTTTGTTCTACTAGTGATGTCTTTATATATTTGGCCTTTTGTTCACACATCTGTATTAAATCTAAATCGACATTCAATTATGACTGCCTATCTAGTTCAATCGTTAAATTTTGAGAACTTTCCTTATTTGACCTATTTTTTAGTTGGATGTATTGTATAAAAATTAAAAAAAATCGCATAGTAATAGTACGTTTCCCTAAGGCAAATAAAAAAGTTTTGTTGCAAGTATTATTAACCTAGATAGGTTATAAATTTCAAATAGTTATCATGGTTAATACCTCATATATCTTTCGGTATATTCTGTAAATAGTTCATGAAGAGTCTAATCAGGCATACTTTTAAATACAGCTTACTTTTATCTCAATATTTTGATGATTATTTTTGGCCATGTTTTGTCCGTTTATTTTCCATTGCTTCCTGTGGGAATTTAAATATAGGAAAAAAAGCGTTTTGTGTGTATCTATATAAAACGACTGGCTAAATACGCTCATGTTTGAAAGCAAAATAGAATACAATGTTGTTCCATTGAACTTGACAAAAAAAAAAAAAAAACTGTTAAAAGAGAATTCTCGGATTCATTTCGTTCAATTATAAATATGACCAAACTTTTGTCGTCTTAGTTTTCTTTTTTTTCTACTTTAAATTTTCTATAATCTTTATTCTCATTAACCATAAGTTACAATCATAACTTTTTTTTATTTAAAAGTCATACTGGTTTACAAATTCATGACTTAAATTTCGTAGAAAAACATAAAGTACCACGAACGAAAGAAAAAAAGACGAAAAGATAACCATAGAAAAGAAAACTAAAGATTGGGCATTTCGAAGCCCACAAATTAAACAGAGATAAAAGTAGGTTCTCAAGAGGGGATGTTGAACTGATGGTTTGGTATTACTTACCGGTCGTACTAGTTATCGATTGATTTGTAATTTCAATGATGAAGATTTCTTGTCGGGCTATGAAGGATATAATTTATAAGAAAATGTTCACTCATTTAATATACAATATTTGAATACTCCCGTATATGTTTTTTTCCCTCTCCAACCCATACATTATGTAAGTCGATGTTTAGAACCTCTTCTCGACCTTGATGTAAGGATTTAACTTTCCAGGTTATCGCTGATAACATTCGAATAACATAGTGAATAAAAGCGGTGTTCCTATGATATTATTGTAATATTTAGCATTTTATGAGAACTGGTGTCATTTCTATTCTCCATCATGTCAGTCAGAAAGATCATACTTAACGCATACTCAGTAAAATTGTATTATATTTTTATTCATATTTGTTTGAAAATTATATAAGGTCACATTTTCTCACCGAGAAATTTTTATTACTCCTAATATAGGTATCCTGGATTTTGATTGGTTGATAGATAGTGCATTTTTCATGTATTTTTTTATAAGATGAATATTGTTCACATGGCACCACAATTGTGTATATGCACACGCATATGCCTTTTTATCCTCGTGGTATTTGCAAAAATCGCATATTATGCCTTTATTTGCCCTTCATTGTGCTCTTTATTGAAAGCTGTTATGTTGGGCTGACGTCTTGGAGCAATAGAATAATGAAATTAAATCGTAAATGTTTAACTTTTAACAAACTCTAAAGATATTCTGTGTCACGTCACGCCTAGCGGCTCAGAAATTTTTACATTTTTACATTCTGTCTACTGGCATTATTTGCAAAAAAACCTTCTGAATATGATAAATCATTTCAACAATTGCATGCTGTATCGTTGTTGATTTTGCATTTATATATTATTATACCATTTTTCTGTGGAATCTGATAGACTCGGAGTACAGTGCAAGTAATTGGCGTTATTTACCACTAATAAGACGTTCCTTGACATTTAACAATGATTAAACAATGTGTTATAAAACAGACTTTTGAGACGAATCACTTGATAATTGTATTACTGTCCAGTCCTGTCGTCCAATAATGACAATGTTCTTTAGATACCGACGAAACAAAATCAGATATGTGGAATATTGGTAATTTTTCTGTTAATAACAGACTGCATAACAAAGGTATTGTTTCTCAATGGAGACACGAACTGTAAAGTGTAATGTTTCTTTTCTTGGATACTTTAACATCATATGGGCGTATTCAATGTGCTCAAAGCCTTAATTATTTCGTAATGGAATACGATATATGGATGTGGTGAAATTTTACTTAAAAATTTTGTACGTATTGCAAAACAATACAAAATATTTCTCATGCACATTTCTGTGAATGGGAAAGTCATACATGGAATTATCTGAATATGAAGAATGTATAGACATGATAGAATATGATAAAAATGAAGAAACAACAGGCAAGTCGTCATAGAAACTTATTAATTTTATTCTTATTGTACTGAAAGGGTTATTTTCAACCACGGAATAATTCACTTAAATCACACCATAATCTTCAGATTTATTCATAAGACAAACTGTTTTCAATTTGAAAACATAAACTTCAAATTACGGTATAACTTTTTTCTTTTTTTCTAAGCATGTTTATGATGTGTAATCATTTGTATAAAAATTATACTTAATGAAGTTTTTAACAATAGACGGATGTGGTCAATAGGTTGCTTGACGGATGCTTAACGTCCAGTAGTAAATATTACATTTTAGGTTAATGAGGCATGAATATATCATACTTTGAACAACACTCTGAGTCAGATTATTTACATGATAGTAAACAAGGAAACTGTCTATAGGATGGTATATCACTCTAGCTACTCGGGCGCATTGTTTTGACTTCTTAAATGCCTTGTGGTTGGCGGAAAAGCCACGAAGACAAATTTTGAACGTATTTTGTTTTGACCCTGCCATTGGTGGAGCCAATGACCTGCTGCACTCAAGGAGTAAGAAAAACAAAAATATACACGTTCATTTTATAATAAAATCAAATTGTAGACACAAAAACATATTACGATTGTAGTAGAGTTTTTATAATAGTACATTAGCAACATAAAATAACAAACTGCCTTGTTAAAATGTATATGGATACTAAGTTGTGCATGATTCGTCATTTTTACTCATTTGTTTCATTGTTTACTCTCTTTAACGTTTGTACTAGGTTTTGGACTTTCGAAATCAAAAACTTTGGCCTCGATCTTCACTGAATAGACATTAATTATACCCCATGCAACGAGTTGCGGAGGGTATAATGTTTTTGACCCGTCCGCCTGTCTGTCCGTCCGTCCGTCCGTCCGTCAGTCCGTCAGTCCTATTTCTTGTCATCGCAACTCCTCTCAAACCACACAACAGAATTTCACGAAACCTTTTTAGATAATAAAGAAATACTATGTAAGTATGCATATCGACAGGAAATTACGATTCAATTTTTTTTCTAGGAGTTATGCCCCTTTGAACTTATTTACTTTAATGTACTACTGCAACAGTTTGTCATCGCAACTCCTCTCAAACCACACAACAGAATTTCATTAAACCTTTTCAGATAATAAGGACATACTACGTAGATGTGCATATCGACAGGAAATTACGATTCAATTTTTTTTCTAGGAGTTACGACGCCCCTTTGAACTTATTTGCCCAATATACTACTGCAACCTTTTGTCATCGCAACTCCTCTCAAACCATACAACAGAATTTCATGAAACCTTTTCAGATAATAAGGACATACTACGTAGATGTGCATATCGAAAGGAAATTACGATTCAATTTTTTTTCTAGGAGTTACGCCCCTTTGAACTTATTTGCCCAATATACTACTGCAACCTTTTGTCATCGCAACTCATCTCAAACCACACAACAGAATTTCATGAAACCTTTTCAGATAATAAGGACATACTACGTAGATGTGCATATCGACAGGAAATTACGATTCAATTTTTTTTCGAGGAGTTACGCCCCTTTGAACTTATTTGCCCATTATTCTACTGCAACCTTTTGTCATCGCAACTCCTCTCAAACCACACAACAGAATTTCATGAAACTGTGTAGATAATAAGGACATACTATGTAGATGTGCATATTTACAGGAAATTTTGATTCAATTTTTTTTTCTGATACAATTTTTTTTATCTTACACTTATTTTATTTCTCCAATGACAATGTGGGGACGTGGGGTATGTGAGCGCGCTCACTAAGGTTCTTTCATTTTCGATAGGCGCATCTGGTGCAATAAAATGTGTACCATGAACGTTATTACCATTGTGCATCTCTTTAATTTCGATGGCAATTTTTAAGCCCGAGTTACTGGGAGCAAAGTTCCCAAGACGATAGCCCGCACTTCTCAAGTCCATTATGTGCTAAGGAAAACGACAAAAAATAGGATATAAAAGATAGGAGCATTTTCGTTTACCCTAAGTTTTTGAAGGCGTCGTTTTGTTCAATTATCCAGATTTATCTGTAGCGTTGTGTGAACTGTTGTTTCTTTTTTCATCTTTTTAGCTCACCTGGCCTAAAAGGCCAAGTGAACTTTTCTGATCACTTGGCATTCGTCGTCCGTCGTCGTTAACTTTTACAAAAATCCTCTTCTCTGAATCTACTCGGCCAAATTTAACCAAACTTGGCCACAGTCATCATTAGGGTATCTAGTTTAAAAAATGTGCCCGATAACCCAGCTGGTCAACCAACACGGCCGACATGGCTAAAATAGAACATAGGGATAACAAGCAAGTTT